GGGTGGGCTTCTAAAAACCTCAATGTCTGAGGATGTGATTGCTCTTTTCAAGGCATTCACTTACACATTCTCAGAAGTCGACACATGCAAGGACCCCAGAAACACGTAAAGAACAATTTTGTCACCATAAGCAACTCTTAACAACATGACCTTCCGCATCTGCTGAGCTGGCCATTTGCAGCAGCAGGATTGGAAACCTGGCAGTAGACCAGGATGCTTGTTCCTGGCCGCCTCGGTTCTTGGTGAGCTCCAGCCAGGCAGTACCCCAGCAGCACTGGACTGTGTGGGCTCCCGGGGGTTTGGCGTCTCTTGGAGCCAGTAAGTGCCAGCGACAGAACATCAACGGCATCTTCCTTTTTGATTGTGCTGACTCATTCCCCAAAATAGCCTCAGAAATTACAGGACCTAGCGATCAGAGTCTATCTGCCTTCTGGAAAACTCCCACCTGCCTATGGTCTTCCTGTCTGGCTTGACTTCTACCTGTTGGCTTAGAATTCTGATTCATTCCTCTCTCCCTCTTTCTCTCCTTTTCCTTCTTTCCTAGCGCCTTCTCTTGTTTGTTGCCTTCCCCCACAAAGGGCGGGGGAGGAGAAGTGACATTGTATGGATAGGCACTGAACACACAAGCCAGTGACAGTGGCTCCCATTTTTTAACTTCTTACTGGGCCCCAGGCACGTTGTCATGCTTGTGTCTTTTGTTATAACACGTCCTTAGAGTAACGCTTGGAGGTGGGTACTGGGTCTCTCATTTAGGTATTTTACTGAAAATGGCAGAGCCTGGGTTTGAAGGCTAGTCTGTCTTGCTCTAGTGGGCAGAGCTGGTTGCAAGCATGCGATAGTCCAGTAAAGACAGCCATCGTTGGCAAGGAGACTCCCTGTGTGCTTCTTACCCCCTCATAACCATGAATGGCGTTTCTCGCCTGGGATTGCCTTGTTTGCATGTAGTCTTGCTCTCAGTTGAAGGACCCCACCGTCCTGATGGCTTGGGTCCTGTCAGGTCACCTTGCACCCTTAGGTCACAGAATAGCCTGCCATTCTGACTCAGGAGAAGGTCAGAACCACTTCCCCAAGATACTGCAAGAGGGACCTCGAATATTCGAAGGTGGAGGAAAGCAGAGCTGGTATTTCCTTCCCTAGACCTTAAGAGGTTTGGTGGGAACAAGTGCAAAGATTTCTAGAGTTAATGCAGAACTCGAAAGGAAAGTACCACCTCCCCTGCGCACATAGCCACCTACACGGGTACACAGCATCTCTGTCGACCGCAGTCCATTCTCAATGGCTCAGAAAACTGTGTCTTCTTGGCCTGTACCACAACCATGCTGTGGACTCATCCTCCCCGAGGTGCTGCAGGACCTACCTGGCGCCCTTGCCTTCAGGTTCCCCGTACCCTTTTCTACTGCTTCTGCCTATCAGCTACTGTCTTCTCACCATGCTTCTTGCCCGTAGATGCCTAGACAGTGGCTCCTGAGGCCCTCCAGGATAAGGTCCGAATTCCTTAACCTGTCCTGGGAGGCTTCTTGAGACCTGGCTCTCTCCTCTTCAGCTTTACTGACCGCTTGGTCAAAGCCAGACTGAGCTTCCTTCCCAAAGCTCCTGAACGTGCTGTCCCCTCTCCTGTGCTCCTCTGCCTGGAGCAACATTCCTGGCATTCACCACCTGCTCACTCCTACTTATCCTTATCGAGCTCAGCTCAAATACACCTTCCTTAGGGGAAGCCTTGTAATGCCGCCTCCTGTCCGCTTCAGTCTGGGTTAGACGCCACGTTCTCTGCGCGACTTCAACACCCCGGCTTCCCTCTGTCATGATCTTTAACACTGCATTGTAGCTGTCTGTTTGCCGGGATCTCTCCCTCATTTCCCTGTGAGCTTTTGGAGGGCAAAGGACTCTTATGTGTATTTGTCTTTCTAATCTCAGGGCTTGGCACAGAGCAGATGTTCGGTGTGAAAAAGCAATTTATAAAATGCAAAGAATCAGAGAAATGGAATTGAAGGCAAATGCTTCGGGCAGTGTAAGCAAGAGCTGATCTTGCTGCTTAGGGTGTAGATTTCTGGTTGTCACGTATTACCTACTGCGCTCTTTCCTACAGAGAGATCTGTGGACCAGGGCTGTGGGCTGAGAGCGGTTCCCTAGACATCAGATAGCTGCCTCTCCGCCTGGGCCTCTGGGTTTTCTTTTTGGGTGGAGATCACCTTCTGCAGGAAATGGAACTGCTCCGAGCGAAGTTTTCACTTCTGCTAGTCCTTTTTGTGTTCTGCTGTTCAAGCGTTAGAAAGACTGAGCCCTGTTTTGAGTCCTGACGGGATCGGGTTTCATGATCCCAAAAAAAGTGTTTGTGTAAGCTCAAGCCACGCTGAAAGCAAAATGCAGCTTAAAGGGGGATTCTGCCGGACCTCACTCAACTTTTCATCCCGCTGCCCGGCTGTATACATGCAGGGTATGAGCGCGTGGTGCCCCTCAAGTCCGGGGCATTTGCCTGTGCCCATAAGATGGAAGGCTAGAGTGCTTGCTTCCAGTAGAGAGCAGTTTAGAAATTTAACAACAAACATGGAGCCCCTCATGTGGGCAAGGGCCAATGCTAAGTGTTATGGGTGATGTGGGATCATTAGGGCCCGGATTCCATCCCCAAGAGGCCTCCCATCTAGGGAGAAAGGCTGACAAGCAAGGTCACATGAGGGGCCTGACTTACTCAAGGTCCATTAGGTCTTTACTTTGGGGCCCAGAGCATTACAGAAAGGAACATTTTTTTTTTTTTAAAGATTTTATTTATTTACTTGACAGAGATCACAAGTAGGCAGAGAGGCACAGAGAGAGAGAGAGAAGAGGAAGCAGGCTCCCTGCCGAGCAGAGAGCCTGACATGGAGCCTGATCCCAGGACCCTAAGATCATGACCTGAGCCGAAGGCAGAGGATCAACCCATTGAGCCACCCAGGCGGCCCGAAAGGAACATTTTTTTATTGAACTATATTCCAGACTCAGGTTTAGGTCTCCTCGAGTACGTTATTGCCTTGAACCTCGATATTATCCCCATCTTGCAGCTGGGAAACAGAAACTTTAACAGGCAATAGATACGAGCTCTGAAAATTAAACTGGGAAATGAGCCAGTAGATGAAGGCGGTGTCAGAATCTTGAAGGGAAGACGTTGATGGGGGCTGGCGACTGCCCCCTGCTGTGTTTGTCTTCAGCAGGTGGAGTGAAGCTGGAAGAAAGATCTCTGAGAAATGGGGAGCAGTAAGAGACCTTATTTGGTGAGGCCAGCTGCTGGGCAGGATCAAGTGCAGCTGGGAGTCAGCCATGGAGGGGTTAATTGAAGACACCCTCAGAGACAAAGTTAAGGAGGAAGGGAGGGTAGTTTCCCGGTAGAGGTGGGGACACTGACTCTGTACCTGTCAGCCAAGAGTTGAAAGTTTGTCTCCCCGTTTAACTTTAATTGTGTTCCTTAGTATTTCCTTATCCCAGGAGCACTTGAAAGCCTCTTCTCCAGATGTGTATAAAGGATCCCCAGCCCAGGGGCCTAGAACCTCCCAGCAGGGTTGGGTCCAAATCTTTTCTTGCCTTGGCTCTTAGTTCTTTCACTGTTGATACCTCCTTGGAAAGGAAAGGGACAGAAGGCTTCATTTTTTTCCTTTGTAAAATGGAGTAGCTCTTGGACTGCAAATGTTTGAGTAGGTGATCTGTGACCTGGGTACAAAATGCAAAAGGTGTCACAGTTTTGTCGTGGCTGGTGAGTCTCTGCTTCCCGTTTGTCTTCTAGTCACTTGAGCTCCTGAATAACCGTCATCGCCAGTTTCTTGCTGTGATTTTTGGGGCCCTTTTGTTGATTGCTGTATTTCTCCAGAAAGGACATTTTGGAAATTGGTTCAGCAGGTGATCCAAGTCCCTATGATGGCCGGGCCTTGGCTGCTCCAAACCTTGGTGTTGACAAAGTCTTATTAAATTAAGAACGTCACTTGCCAGCCTATACTGTGTCCGAAGTCACAGTACCATCACCATTAGTGAGCGCATGACCCGCTGCAGGACAAGGATATCTCAATCCAGAAAGCTGCTAGACAGCTTTCTAGTCTAGTCTCCATTCTGAAACCCAGGCATGTGTTTCCTATTAAAAGATGTGACTGATAGCTGCCTCTTACGGTTTACTCAATAGAAAATCCTGTTGCCGAGTGGCTGAAAAGGATGCCTGCATGTTTACTTTGCCATCTAATACAAAGCACAAAGTTTTCTTACTCCGCCAACTCATCAAGTTCTTGAATCTGTCGTCGTCGGCTGATTGAGACAGCAACTACGCGTGAGCCATCCCCATAGCCTTACATGTTGGATGTTCAGTGAATGTTCCTCAGTGATTCTAAGACTGTGTGAGGTCTTGTTCACAAGGAGGAAGGACGTTGGGAAGGAGCGATTGGAGTTTTCATTGACCTCTCCCCCGGGCTAGTTGCTGACTCTCCCTCAGCCACAAAACCCCATCTCCTTCACCCCCATCAAATTGTTGAACTCTCTGGTCTTTCAGGAAAACATGGTCACACCTGCTTCCTTCTCCAGTCCTGCTGATAGGAATTCATGTTGGCTGATCTCTTGTGGTCATACCCTAGATTTCTTTATGGGGAAAGGGAAAGTATCGTGGATTAATGAATGTGACTAATTACGACTTGCTTCCTTGTTTAAGAACTTATTTTTCATCGCTATTTATTTGCCTTGAGAAATTAAGGAAATAGGGTTTCGGATATGGAACACTGGACTGAGGATCCAGAGAACTGAATTCTACTCCTGCCACAGCTGTGCAATCTGGGTCATGTCACTGTCCTTCCCTGGGCTTCAGTTTCTCTAGCTGTAGAACACAAGTTGGAATATATTATATATGTGATCTTTATGCGATCCTTCCTTATTCAAAGTTCTACGGTTTGGGGTCCCCTTTTCCCAACGTCTGTGCTCCTGTGACCTTCCCTTTGCCTATCCCCAGACCCCAGACCCCAGATTTCTGATTCGGATGTCTGATTTTGTGCTTCTAGGTTTTCTTTGTGTCCGACCTCTTCAAGACCAAGACGACACTCTCTCTGCCTCCCTCGGCTCTCCGGAAGGAAATCCTTTCACCTGTGGACGTTATTGACAGGAACAATCACCACAACATGGTGTAGGTGCCGCCCACCTCCTGAGCTGTTTTATGAAATGACTGCTGACAGCAAGTTTTTGCTGCTCTTCAATCTCATCAGACAGTAGAATGTAGGGAAAAACTTTTTGCCCAACCAATTTTAAAAAGGAAAAAAAAAAGTCTTACTTTGTGGCCTTCCAAAATAGGTAGCGTTCACCTATGTGGAAACAACAGCAAATTAACACCAAGTGCCGAAATCCTGGATGTGCAATTGGTTTAAGTGTTCATGTTCTAGTGAACACGGGCTTGTTCTGGAACAAACACTAAAAATGATTTGCGTAGAGTCTGCCGATCACCCTTGTGACCCGAGGAATCCCAGGCCTGTGAGAAAAAGCTCAAATTCCCATTGTTGCACACAATGCCAGAAATAGCACTGAATCAAGAAAATAGCCATGGGGGGCTCCTCTCTCGTGTCTCTCTGTCCACACCACTCTATTCTGTACTGTGACTTCGGTTCGGGAAGTTAAATCTAAGGAAAGAGCAGGTTTTCTACGCCAGGTGATTCGATCCTGAGTCCCAGCTCCCAGCCCTGAGGCCTCAGCCCTCACTCCCCCGGCCCACAGGCCAGCAACCACAGCCGCTCACGTTAGTGATTAGGAGACTCTTTGTGGATGAGTGAATTTCGCAAATAGCACAATTTCAGAAGAGCTCAAGGGTGCTGGCCCTCCTTTGTCTTTTGCCGCGTCCTGCTGTCGTCGGGGACCGTCGGCTATGGGAGGCCGCTGTTGTGTTCACCAGTCACCCAGCACCTGCACGCCCTCGGATAATAGTTAGTTAGCTTCCGTCACTGCTTTCTCCCTTGAGGCCCTTGCTGTGTGCCCGCCAGGGTTTCCCGGGAGGGTCCGGACAAGGCGTGCTCTGCCGCCAGCTGATGGAAAGCAGCCTTATGCACAAGAGACATGGGAGTGAAGGGGCAAGAATGAAAAAACCCACCAAGCTTTTGGCTACTCGAAGTCAGAATAAGCCAGAGTAGCAGACAGTCTCACGCCTGAGAGGCTACCCTTCCAGATCTCGGAGCTGACGAGGGTCTCTGTGGGTGCTGCTCTTGCTAAGCTGTGTAAAGCACTATTGTCTTGGGGTTGATCTCTAGGGCAGTTCTTGGTAGGTTCTGCTGGGCAGAACACATGGGTTAAATCTCCGTAGAGTTTTTCTCATCCTCTATCCATAAGTGTCCTTCCAAGCAAGGCCTCGCTCTAGGCAGTAGACAGGGATCCTTTCTACTGAACCTTGGAGGAAAGGAGGAAGGAAGAAAGGCTTTCCGATCACGGATGCAGACCTTTCAAAGGGCTAAGTGTAACCACATGGATCAACCACACGCATAGCCTTACTACAGAAGCCGTCCTTTCATTTCAACTCCTAGCAAGCTATGATTTTTATATATAAATATTATATAAATAATGTATAAAACATTAAAAGTTAACTATGTAAGATATTATTTCTGAAACAATTTTAGCTATATCCACTATGATTATAAACTGTGTCTCGACCTGTGTTATTTACATTAGCTGCTTAAAAAAGCATTGAGTTATTTTTTTTTTAATATCAACTAAAATACCGTAGTTCTGTGGTAGACGTTGTTTTACAATGAAAGAAATAACTACAACTAGAGAAAACTGTATAAAAACATTAAAGTGTCAGTATTTTTGTAAGGTTCCATTTTGTAAAGAGAATAATATTCAAAGACTTTTGTAGAATACAAAGTGAAAACTTGTATCTGCGAAACTATACTTGTATTAAATGTGCTTTTTAAATAAAAGCTCATAACACAACTAATGAAGGAGTTGGAATCCTAGATTGTTCGAGGGATGTGTTGTCTCCGGTGTGTGGTAGGAAGAAGGGGGACTGTGGGCGATCTGAGGTCTTTGAATAGGCCAGCCTCACCTCAGGGCACCACTACCAGATCCTTCCAATGGGAAATATGGTGGCCATTGGACTGCCATAGCTGTCTGAGCTGCTCTTTCATCTCTGAAAGCCTGTTTGCCCAGCAAGGCTCTGCCTCTGCTCTGTCTCGGACCCTTCTAAAGAGCTTTTATATTCTAAAGGGGTTTTGTCGGGAGGGAGGAGCTGTGGGCCCCCCAAAGGCAGATAAGGAGCAGTGCTCCAGATAATGTGTGCTTGGGGAGCTCCCAAGGGAGCCCTTTATACATCAAAGGAAGGAGGGTGGAGGGCGCTCCAGGGAGAATGGCAGCTGACCCTTGCTTTCTCTCCTGGTGCCTGCCCAGCCGAGAGAGGAGCGGGGAAGCTAGAAATTTCTCCTTCAACACGCACCTGTGTGCCAGGCACTTCTGCCTGTTTGTCACTTTTGATCCCAATGGCAGTTCTTATTTTGAGAAGTGAGGAAAACAAAGGAATGCAAAGATCAAACGACCTGTCTAAGATCCTGGAGGAGTCAGCTGCTGGCTGGGACTTGTATTCATTTCCTATTGCTGCTGCAACAAGTTATCACAAACGTAGTGGCTTAAAACAGCCCAGATTTATTATCTGGCAGTTTGGGAGGCCCTAGGGCAGAAGCTGTTTCCTGGTCTTTTCCAGCCTCTCGAGACCATCTGCATACCTTGGTTTGTGGCCTTCTATCTTCTCAGCAAAGGTAGCAGCGCTGGGCCAAGTCCTGCTCACTCTGTCTCTGAATCTCTGTTTCTTCCACCTCTTCCACATTTAGGCCCTGGTGATTATGTTGGGCCCACCTTCTCTACCTATGTTAAGGTCAGCTGATTAGTAACCGTCATTCCATCTCCTCCTTAATTCCCCCTTGGCATGGTGCATAGCAGATACGTAGTCCCTAGGGATTGCAACATGGACAACTTAGGGGAAGCGAGGCTCATGCTGCCTACCACAGTTCACCCTCCAGGTCACAAAGATTCATATCCAGCCCACACGCGAAATACTTTTACTGGATCCCAACATCCCACAAGGTTTCAACACGTGGCATCAGCTCGAATCCAAAATCTTACCTAATTTTGAACTACAGAGTCTCAGATCTCATCATTGAAATGAGATCATTTAAAACAGGTAAAGATGAGGTGCGGGGTTGAATCCGTTCTGAGGCATAATTGCCCTCCATCAGTAAGCCTGTGAAACAAGTCAGCTGCTCCTCAAATTCAGTGAGGGGATAGGCGTAGAATAACAGACATTCTTCTTCAAAAGAGAAAATGGACAGAAAAAAAGAAACCATGGTTAGCACGCAATTTCAAAATCCAACCAGGCAAACTTCATTTGGTTTCAGGCTACGGGAATAAGCCCATGTGGCTCGTAGCTCCTGCCACCAAGGTCAGTCAGCTCTTCACTTCTAGACAAGCCCACTCAGGCCCTGATATTAGCTCAGCACTTTCCCAGCATTTTCCTGTAAGCAGAAATGTTTCATTGGGCCCCAGGATACAGCCATGGCAATCCCTGAAGTCAGAATCCAAATCTTCCTTTCAAATCGAGGGGAACAAAGGTCCAGATAGACAAAATAACTTGCTGGGGGAGCGGGATAAAGGAGGACACACCAAGTGAGAGGAGGGACTGGGAGACCAACCCCCAAGTGTCCCATACTGCTAATCCTCCAGTCTTCCCATCACAACTTTCCAGTAGCACTGGACAGACTCAGCTGGTCTCAAGAAGAAATAATCCCATTTCCTGGAGACTTAAGGAGAGGCGGAGCCATGCCATAGTACAGACAACTCTGGGATTCATGTCCAAACCATTTCAATTACTTATCGATTAGGATTAATTACCTACTGTGTCCTAAGCACTAGCAAACACATAAGATAAGACTGTGGATTAAAGGAACTGGAGGTCAGTTTTAAGGAATTTATAGGCTAGAGGAGAATGTATAAAATCAAATAGTTACACACATTTGTAATTAAGAACTAAGGCAGAAATAGAAAAAGAGCCATCCCATTTTTAAAACTTCATTATGGAGGATATACAAATGGAAGATAAACATAAAGTGTGCTGAACTCTGTTAGTCACAGGGAAAGGCACATTAAAGTCGCAATGAGATATCACTACATACTTGTGACATCTTTTTCTAACTTAAAAAAAAGAAAGAAAGAAAGAAAAGACAACCCAATACTACAAAATGGTGAAGGCATGAAAACTGGAACTCTCATGCACTATAAGTGTGGAAGTAAATTGGCACAGCTATTTTGGAAAATGTTGGCAGTTATCTACTAAAGCCAGTAATACCCATACCCTATCCCCCAGAAATTGCCCTCCTAAATATGTACCCAACAGAAGGATCTATATATGCTCACCAAAAGACATATATAAGAATGCTTACAGATGTACTATCTAGGGCTGGAGACAACTCAAATTCTCTTCAACAATCAAGTAGATAATTACTTAGTCATTTGAGGAACACTATTTAACAGCAAAAATGAGCAAACCCCCATTATGCAGAGCAATATGAGTGAATTTCACAGAAAGACTATAGAATGAATGAAACCAGGCCCAGCAGAATACACACCATGAGTTCATTTTTATGAAGTTCAAAACAGGCAAAATTCACAGTGAAAGAAATGATCAACAAAATGAAAAAACAACCAATGGAATGGGAACAAATATTTGCAAATTCTATATCTGATAAAGGGTTAATATTCAAAGTATATAAAAAACTCACTAACTTCAATAGTAAAAAACCAAATAACCCAACTTAAAAATCACCAAAGGGCCTGACTAGACATTTTCCCAAAGAAAACATATGAATGGCCAACAGATACATGAAAAGATCCTCAGCATCACTCATCATCAGGGAAATGCAAACCCAAACCACAGTGAGATACCACCTCACACCTGGTAGAATGACATCAAAAAGACAAGAGATAACAAACACTGGTGAGGATGTGGACAAAGAGGAACCATCCTGCACACTGTTGGTGGGAATGCAAATTTGTGCAACCTCTATGGAAAACAGTATGGAGGTTCCTCAAAAAATTAAAAATAGAAATATCATAGGATCCAGGAATTCCACTTCCGAAAAGATATTTGAAGGAAGCAAAAACATGATGTCAAAGAGATATCTGTAACCTCATGTCACTGCAGCTATGTTTACAATAACCAAGACAGGGAAGCAACCTAAGTGTCATCCATGGATGAAGAAGTTGTTGAATATATGTACAATGGAATATTATCCAGC